ATTACTGAAATATGTATCCAATTAGAAGAAGATGGAAATATATTAGAACTTGAAAAATTTGATAAAAAATTAAAGAAATATTTTAAGAGTTATACGGATATATTTCAAATTAGAAGAAAATTAAATGATAAAATCCAAGAAAACTTTAGAAGATGAGAAGACCTTCCAGAAATATTAGAAATAAAGAATATAAAATTAGAATATTCTAAGCCATGAATAATACTGGAATTGATTGTTATGTTTAAATTAATTAGATCTAAAAATGAATATGTTTAAATATTATGTGTTAATCTTCAAAAAATACATAAGAAAAGGATACATCTTGCAATAAATAAAGACTCATATCATTAAGGATAATATAGACATTTTAACCAATTTTACAAAAATGATAGTCAACTGGGTCATTCTAAATAATGCCCCACTTGTCTGGATTCTTCCACGGGCTGACTCTTTTGACAAAGTCGAGAGGAGGCCTCAGGTTATCCCATTTTGATTTCAAATTGACAACAACAATAATATTGCATCATCTTCTTCAAAAAGCATTTAAAGTTGAGCAATAGGAATATTTATCTTGGAAAAATTTACATGCTTTCACATACAAGTAGATATACACCGCTCAAATATCTAAAAAAAATAAGAAATCTATCACCAATTTGTAAATATGTATGAATGCAATAGCCAAAGGCTGCTGATGGAAAGTCAAAGAAGAACATAATAGCTATAAAATATTATTACGCTATCCGTTATTTCATTTAATTTAAATGTTTTCTGCATCTAATTTGTCGGTTGGTGAGTGAAATTTTTAATATTGACTTTATAGTCTTTTTAAATTACTAGTTTTTACACCGTGCAATGCACGGGTTGTGTTATTTTTAAGGTAATATTAGCGTCTTGAATGCTAAGATTAGATGGGAGATTGTATTAAAAAAATTTCATACATACATTTGTATATAAGAAATAAATGAACAATAGAAAGACTAAATTTGTCTGATTTAATTCAGCACCACATTATATATTCAAAGACCATTTTAATTTCTAGGTGTGCTTCATAGTTTAATGCAAATCAGACTTGTAAATGTAATATTATAATAGAACTAAAGCATCCGCTAATCCTTCCACCTGAAAAAATAAATGGCAAGAAATAAATTAATGAAAAGAAAGACTACAACTTGTCTGATTTAATTCGGTAGCACATAATACTACTAAGTTTTTCTCTGTGGTTCGAAGTTGTTATTTGAAGATTTTAGTAATTGGTTCTCCTATGGGCAACCCAAATCACTTTTGCTAGTTTAGAAGAAGAAAGACAAATATGTTGATGGAATCATAAAGGTGGAAATTGAGAACTTTGCTCACGCAATGAACTCAGGACTCACCTACGGCAAAGCCATTTTGAGTAGAGTTTGCAAGGGCAGCATCAACTATATCTTTGAGATAGATGATCTTTGAGCCTCTTCGAACAACATTGCAAGTTATTACAACCTTTGGTTTGCAATCCATGATTCTCTCGGCAAGAAATTCAGCAAAGAACCTAGCAAAAACAACCTGAACATAGATGAAGCATCATGTTGTACATTTCAAAGGTTTGTGAAAATAAATGAAGTAGTGAACTGCAAAAGGAAAAGAACAGATACTGTAAAAAAGAAATTTGCTAAGCAGTATCGAGTGAACAGCACCAATACGAGCACAACAAGCATAGCTATTGGCAGCTCCATCAGCATTGGTAGATGAATCATGACAGCATCACCCTTTTTGATGCCAACGTCTTTAAGGTAATTTGCTAGCTGTTAGCATAATCCATTCGACAAGAGAAAAGTCTAGTTAAAAATAAGAGAATCACTCTAAAGGGGCAACAAAATCAATCAAAAAGGAAGGGTAAGACTAACCTGGCAAACTCTCTGCAACAGTTGGTTATAACTAAAATTACCATCAACACCAGGTTCATTTCCTTCCCAAAATAGAGCAATCTTTTCACCATTTCCCAGCTCAATATTTCTGTCTAGACAGTTGTGGCAGATGTTGGTTATACCACCTTTGAACCACTGTTCTAGTACACACAATTTCAACTCTACCAATTAAATACAGTAAAATCTCAAACAAAAATATCAAGACTTATTGATCTTGAAAAAGATACCGATTATAGTTGAATATATAAACATTTTCTTGAATTGCTATCACTCGAAAAGAGCCCAAGTTCAGCTAAATTGCATGCTCTCGTACCTTGATAAAATACACAAAAACAAACGTAAATCAATTTGAACCGTGAATTTAGCATGAATTCTACGTTGTAAGTTTTCTGATAGTTTAGTATGAAAGTACTGTTGAGATGGGAGGAACAAACATACAGTGCCAACTTTAACCAGTTTGCAAGAAAAGGCACAGAGATGCAATTGTAACCAACTCCAAGAAGTGTTATTACTTTCCAGTCTTCAAAATTATTTTTACATAAAATTTTGAGTCATAGAACTTCTCCTGATCATATTGTTACACAACAATGAAAAAAATAAAGGTAGTATATGGTTGTATAAAGCAATCAAGATTAGCTATGCACACAACCATATTGTTAAATAATTGTGCAATGTAGACAGTAGCAGAAAACAATTCATTATCATTACCAGCAAAGAAGGCATTGAGTTGGTTAACCACAATAATGGATCAACACTCCTAATATCTCGAGGACGGAGACCCGTTGTAAAAAAGAAATATCGTGTCCAGAGAACAATAATAGAAACAATAGGGAAGAAGAATTAACAGACGAACTTTATTAGAGTCCATTGACATCACTGATTCATACAGACTAAACGAGCAGGAAAGAAAAGGTTTATAAAATGTATAAACATTCTCAAATAAAGAAGGAAGAATAATTGCTTACATGTTAGCTAAATTCAAAAATTGCAGTTTATTACCAATAAGATTTACCAAACAATAAGTTAATCTGAGATGTAGAGATATAAGCTACTGCAGAACTGAACATTAATGATATTTTCCAACTCCAAAAAATTGAACTAAGCTCAGTAACTCACAAACTTATTACTCACCGCTTGACTTCAACAAGTGTCGTCTCATTATTTTTCTGGTAGATACATTCCCATCTGACCTTACTTCCACAACCTGTTGATGGGGAACAGTGAATGGACATACACATGAACATGTAAGCCGTGAATTAAGTTTAATACTAACCAGAGAGAATTCAGCTGCTTCATTTATTAGTTTAAATGCCTAAAATGGCCAACGGAAGGATAAGACAAACATAAGCTCTGCCTTGCAATATCTGTTGGAATCACAATAAATTCTTGGCTTGAAATTCCATTATTCTTTGATTTCTAGGACTAAGCAATTACCAATAATTAAACTACTAAAGAAAGTGTCTGAACTTATAATACATCAAATCACAAGCAACATTTTTTCTTTCTGTGAAGTGAATTGAAAAATTCATAAATAAAGAGCCAAAATTGTGTGGCTTCCCTTCAAGATTTTGGTGAGAAATAAGTTGATACGTTCAATCTGAAATCTCCCTGAACTTGCACTTGACCGGGAAGACATGACAATTCTGAACTTATAAATCGGCGGAATCTATTCTACTTCTAAGGCAATCTAAATGTCCTTTCAATTTTTCCTATCATGTTGAATTCTTATGGATGTGGATGCACTGACCTGTAGTTCTTCCCGATTCTAAATACATAGCCGACCAGATGAATATGGAATAGGTTTGCTAAGTTGATTTTCATATTACCAAATAAAATAACATGAAATGTAACGTTTCCAACTCCAAATTTTACCAAATTCATAAAGAACAGCAATTACAAATTTTCCGTTCCATCACCGCAGATTACTTTCATATCATGCACGTTGGTATTGAATCATTAGGGGGCTTCATTCTGTCCTACATATTATGACATAACAATAAGACTCGGCTTCACCAAATGCATAATTACAACCATCTAGCTACAACTTATAAGCAGAGCAATGCTAACTGCAACTTTCATGGATGGATTAAATAGAAGGGAAGAATTATTGTTTAGCAACATTTCAGGCCTCCTGTCCCACAAATCCTCAACCAGATCTAGCTAGAAATAATAAATACTAAGTTCTAATTCATTTGAGTCCTTGCAATAACAGCTTCTGTTTAACATGAAATGTCACCGAACGAATCTTCTATGTTTTCATTTGTGAAGCTAAAGAAAACATGGAACATTTCTCAGGACGTTTCAAGCATATATTCACTCATGGCCCACGCAATACACAAATATGATAACAAAGACGAGAAAAAACGAGTTCATTTATCTAACAAACTACCTCATCTTACTATTTACACATCAAATCAAATAAAATAAGGTTTTCAATTGACACTCTACGAGAAGGTAGTCAATGCAAACACACTTCAATAGGTTAGCTTGAAAAATTAATTGCTAGAACTTCTTTAAAACCAGTTACTGTCCACAGCTATAGAGCAGCATTAATCTATATTGCTGACTCAGACAATACATATAACACATGAAGAAAAAAAAGTTAACAAGTGAGACTATAAATCAACCAAATGAGAGAGAGAGAGAGAGTGAGTTTTCACCTCAACTATCCCCTAGTTGTCATGAGAATGCAGCATCCAAATTATCTACCCAAATGTCCCATTTGTTTTCCACTGTTCTCAAGCTTTTCATCACTCTCTTGGGATATAGCTTCCTGCAGAAGTAAATCAGTCATCAGAACAAAAGAAAGAAAGTAGAAAATCAACAAATAGAATCAGTTCAACAGCGTAAAGCATGCATTAGAAAATTCACTAAACATGCATCTCCAGAAAACCGATTTTTGAATCATAGAGATTTGATAAATGCCTATGCATAATTCTAGTCTACCACAAAATGAGGAGGCACGATGCATGATTTGCAATAATCTGAAAGTACTAAGTTCAAACAAAAGATCAACTGAATCGTACTGTCATCCTGGCAAAAGTGCTATACAATGGCAAAAAATAAACATCAATAAAGTTTGTACTTTAACGAATGACATCCAAGTACCCAAATTCGCATATTTATACATTTCAGAACTAACAGTAAGGCTTTGTTTCTACCTGTTGAAGGAAACAAAGTGTAGAAAGTCCTCCCAGCTGATTAAAGGAAATATCGATCACAATGTTCTGCAAAAGGCATTTCACAATTTTCACCTGCCATCAGAAGCACATGCACTCAGTTCAAACCTCGGAGAACCACACAAGTAAATAGGAAAGAGCCACCTCCTGACAGCTTCTGGAAACATGTAGAATGAAAGTAATATGCAAGTTGGACGATAAAAATAAAAAATAAAAATCAGATGCAGCCTTTATCAAGGTGGAAATAAGCAGTTGAGTGAGGCTACCTCGACATCTATAAATTGTGCATCCTTCACTTCATACTCTGCATTTTCATTTAGCTGCTCCCCTTGCAGAATACCAAGAACATCGCGAGCCAAAGATTCCTCGACATTAAGACTTTTAAGTGCAGTCAATTCGATATCTCCATTAGGTAAGTACGTCTTCAGCAGCACAGACCTGTAGGGAAAAGCCTATTACAAATATAAGCCAAGTCAAAGGTGGACACAAGAATGACAAGGATAAGACTATGCAGAACTAATTCATAGAACCATTATCTTTAATTATTTAGCAGTAAGAATCCACGAGGCTTCCATAACACATAAGTTTAATAGGATGCCTTGGAAAAATTAAAATAAAAAGAATTGTAAATAGGAGCAGGAAAAATAATAACCCCTAAATTTCAACCTACGAGCATGTACAGAATCTAGGGATTTTGCTCCTGCATTGACTTTGACTTTAAAGAGCCGACAACCTTCGATTAATTAATGGAATTCCGAACTTTACAACTTAACATTCTTCTTGTCACCACGACACCGATACTGCACCTGCACTTTTATCGCTTCATGATTTTTTGGCAAGATCGGAGATTCAGAATTAGGTATAATCATTTGAATCTAGCACAAATGAATAGACAATGCAGAATCTAACAAGTGATGAAAGTTCAAAATCCCTTTGTCCTAGTCTAAAAGGCAAACAATCAGATACTGCTACAACTTCAATAACTCATCAATAAGATAAAATGCCCCCTTAAGGCCTCTAAATAAGACTTTACGCAAAAGCAACGTATTTTCAAGAATATACTTCAACTTTCCACACACCGGTAAAATATATAAATAATCGCACAAAATTCAATTAAGATTCAGCAAACTGAAATTAACCAAATCACTCAGAGAGAAAAATCATCATAAAAATTTTTAAAAATTAAATAAATAAATGTAGTAAATTGAAATCAGAAAACATGTGATCCTCTCACAGTCGAGATGACGCTTTATGAGCCTTTGTACGTAATCAATTACGTATTTTCTCTTCTCCTCTGAGTCAAGAGTTGAGTGTATGCAATTCACCACTTGCTCAGCTGCTTCCTCTGCCTCTACAAAACACTCATCGGTAATTGAAGCCGGATCAGGTTGCCTCCGACGCGACCCAGAAAACGAGCTGAGAGAGTCATCCTCCACCAAAACGCCGCCGTTCGAACTCACTCCTCCAACATCACCCATGTTATTTTTATTTATATGTATAATTTATAACAAATTTTACTCTAGGGATTTCTCTTGCTTCATCATTTTTGCCAAAGTTTCTTCCATTGTTGTTACACAAAAACAAAATTCTAGGAAATGAAGAGAAAGGGGTTTAGAATTGGGGTTTGTGTGAATGGGTTATGCGGAATTTATAGCAAATTGTAATAATCTGCTGCTTATACATTTACATATTTATGGGAAGAAAACAGCGCGGGGATCGCGGCTGTGCGGAGAGCAATCGGCGTCGGTGGATTGTCTTTGCTGCTCATATCGTTTTGGAGGGCAGAAGATGCAGTACGGCCATAGCAATCTTCCCTGTCCTCATATAATCTTCTTTATACGAGCCTGCAAAATGAAGTTTCAGTGAGGTAATTTAACAAAACAATCCATCTAGCGATAGTCATTTATATAATATCCGATTTCCTAATTTCTCAACTGGTGAAGAATTTATCGCCATAGTAATTGTTTGATAACCGTAAGAAATTTTGAAGCCTGAACACTAAAATCACCCTCCCGAACAGTGACACAAGTTAATGGCATGTCTATCTAGAAAACCTACTGTTCCTTTCACCTTTTATAAAACATGTTGAAAGCTTATTGACGTGGAGGTATAGTTTTATGGTCTTCAATGGACAGGAAATTATGAAGATCAATATAACCATCAAACAAAAAAATAAAAAAAAAATAGAGAAATCACATAACTCCATATTTACCTTGGAGTATACTGATAGATTATGCTTACATGAATAATCAATTAAAAACTAATGGAAAAATACCAATTCAAATGATTTTTTTTAGATATTCACAAGCATTTCTTTTGCTCGCTCCCCACTTTCTCCTTGAGCTGAAGACCTGCTAACCCTCACTATGCAACAACAATCATTAGTAGAAAAATATGAACGTACTGCGCACAAATCAGCCTCCACTTCATGAAGCTTCTGATAGAAGGGTGAGGCACTTTTATTGTAAATTACTTCTAGCCTACACGAACACGTCATTTTTTTTTTTAAACGAAAAGGGAAAAAAAAAGAATTTAGAATAAACATAATTTTATTATATGTCATTTATCAAACTAATTAATCTACGTAAGCAAAATCGCCATTAAACATCAAAATAAAACATGAACAAATACAGGAGAAATAAATAAACTAATTACCTGAGATGTAAAGATGCAAAGCGAATTTTTGTCAACGTGAGGGAAGCTACAGACTCGATTGGGTCGATTGTTTCGTCATGAGCAATCAAATGCAGCTTTCATAAACAAAATACCAAACAGTTGGTTGGCATATACATAAGAAGTATTAACATGTAAAAACAAGTAGTGATAAAAT